TCGAATGCGAGTCCTCTCCTGGTATGAACCCCGCATCTGAAATGTTTCCTATATGGGGTGAGCCAATGCCAAGTAGAAATTTTTTTACAGAGGCTACTCCTCATTCTAAGTGCATATGCAATGTTCATATACGACATTCATAGTCATTCAATCATTCCAATCAAGCATATACCTGATTTATGTTGGAATCTACTATGTCATGTCATGAATGAAATGAGATTCACTCACGCACCTAACCCAACGCTTCACAGGCTCTCACCACACTATGCAATGCAAGTGTAAAACATTTGTCGTTGATGAGTACATCCAAAGATCTTTTTGAAACAACTCATGTGTTTATAAAACCTAATTCATTTCTAGATGTTTCCCATCAAATGAATCATTTATATAACCAAAAACCATGTGTCTTTATTTGGGTAGTGGACTTTTGGTGTTGCACCGCCAACTCCACACACCGATACACTTTTTTGGACTTACACCGTTGGAAGTGTATAAACCAATAGCCGGGCCTTGCACCCGAGGGGGGATCTATCCCTTCTTGTTATACCTGACACAAGTTTTTCATGTATGCATCCGTGCAACTCAATAGGATATTCAACCCCACTTTTTCGAACCCACCCATCAAAACACCAAATATGGTGATTGATCCAACTGTGTACAACATACATCCACACTCATGCCTAAGACGTTGAATGTGATGTTTTCACAGGCAATGTAATGAACCATTGCAATACCAATGTCATGCTCAATGTAATGAATGCCAATGAGTTGAATTTAACCACACATTTCAACATGTGTCATGAAAATTTATATCACATACATATAATCACCAATATCAAAAATTCACAAGTTTGTTACACATAATTCATGCTATAACAACTTAAGTTCCATTTAGGCATTTTATGCAAAATACCATCAAGTCTCAACATTTCCCACATCATTTACAAGGCATAACATTTGAACATAAAGCATGCCTATAAAATCACTTTTTCATGGAATTACCAATCAAGTAATTACCACACTCAATCTCAAGTTAGGAAAGTCTATTCTAACCCATTTCAATACTCCTTTTTCATACCCATTTCCTCTATTTCATATACATAGGTAAGTGACCAACATGTATTCCCATAACCTACACATTACATATAACATTTTAGGTAAGGAATGGACCAAAGTAGGAGAACCCCTACCTCTTGAAGCGTAAAACGACGTTGGGAAGCTCCAACAACCCAAAACAAACCTTGGATTCTCACTTCCCCAAAATCTCAATTTTTAACCTTCGGTGAAACCCGTCGTTTTTGGTGTGGTCAGATAGCCCTCGACGAGGAGAATGACTTTTCCTCTTGGTCCAAGTGAATCCGAAGCCCGTGGAGTCGTAGATCATAAAGAGAAGTAGAGAGCTCCTTCTTTTTCCCTCTCTTCCCGTCTCACGTTAACCGGCTGACGAAAGTGGCCAAGAAATCAAATTTTCCCCCCCTTTTTATACCCTCATTTACTTGGCTCACATTGTGCCACACAACCTCTTTTTTTTTGGATCTATTTTCATTTTGAAACGATTTAATTTCGTCCCGGTTCAAGTTTAAATTAATTTTATTTTAATTTGCCTCAAATTATTTCCTAAATTTCAAAATTTTATTAGAAATCTCATTTTTGGGTCACCCGAGACTTGACTGCCTCGTAAAACGTAAAAAATCTGACTATCTCAGAATTTGATAAAATTTGATGTGGTAACTAGATTTTACGGGAAAAATCCAATGGTGAGGTCCATTTTGTCATCCGAGATCTAGAAAAATTTTGGTTTTCAATCCGTATTGTAGTGACAAAATTATCGTTTTACCCTTGTTCATAAAAGTTTAAATTTATCGGGTTTTATAGAGTTTCTATGAAAATGTAAAGATAGTGCACAATCAAAGTATGAAAATCTCGTGCAATATATGACAGTTAGACCTATTAGCACTAAGTTGAAACGCCTCCACCGTATTGTCCTCGAAGTATCCTTAGGATTTCATTATGGTTCACGTCATAACTAGCCATCCTCTGATCTAATTGGGTGATGTTAGTCTCCAATCCTAACAAAATATGACATTTAGACCTGTTAGCAACTAGAATATATGGTTGTTTTTCTTGTTGTTGAGGCTCTTTTGGTGGCTGAAAGTCTGCACCTCCCGGGAATGGATCTTGTGGTGCTGGTGATGCTTCTTGTTGCCCTCTATGGCTCTCTCTTTATTTAGTTAGTTAACCAAAACAACTCAAATTGTGTAAGACCCTGCATTAAAAATTAAATAAGGATACTATTATCTTAAGAGTACTCCTAAGATGAATAAAATGATGGTAGAAATTTAGAATCATTGTTGAAAGATTGATCATGAATTTTGAGTTTCAGATGAATTGATGTTTGGGTCAAACTTAGTTTTGAATATGTTTAACCTTGAGAACAGTAATTAGGTAAGTTTCTAAATATTTTTAGGACAAGATAAGGTCTCCATTGAATCTGAAAGGTTGAGAAACCTAGGGAGAGGTAATATGGGGTGTATTAGAAGTTGGGAAGTATTCCAAAGTTAAAACACATTTTAGATAGAATTTGAGTAGAAAAGATTTTGGAAATTTCCTAGTATTTGGACCATAACTTATTCCTCTGATGTCCATTGGAGCTGAAATTTTTACAGTAGATAATAGACTTCTAGGGATACAAAAGTGTATTTCACAAAAATATTCCAAATCAACCTCTAAATAGGCCAAAACTTCACTAGAAGGTTTAGCATAAATAGGGAGTCCGTTTAAACGTGAAAGTCCTTTCGAACGACAATTCGTTCTAGTACTCTTGTCTGATGAAAAAACAAAAGTACTGGGAGCAACTAACGTTCGAACACCAAAATGACATTCAAACGTGAGCTACGAATGAGAATATCATATTTACGTCGGTGGGACTCTTTTCTCACCCTATAAATATCATAAGGCTGCCTCTTTTAGCATCATTTCAACATTTCTAACCCTAGGCAGTCTTTGAGAGGAAGAAAGAAGGAGAAAAATACAAGATCAAAGAGGATTTTTCACATTGAAGTGGATCAAATCTCAAGTTCTTCACACAAAACTAAAGAAGAAGGTTGGGGTTTCCTTCCACTCTTGTTCATTGAGGCTAGGGCTATATATATATATATATATATATATATATATATATATATATATATATATATATATATATATATATATATATATATATATATATATATATATATATTTTAACTCTCAATCCTATATATATGGCATAAAATCATTATTGTTTGATGCTCTTGCAAATATTACCATGTTTTGAAGGAAGCTATGATTGGATAGACATGAAATCTCTTCTCCTTGTCTCGAAAACCCTAGTTTTTAAGAAAAATGGGTTTTACTCTCAATATTCATTTGTTCTTGATTTCAAAACTCTAGTGCTTTGTATTGAAAAATAAAATAGTATTTTTGATGATCTCTTGCATATTTTCTTAAATTGTTCTATTGGAATAATACATGTGAAATTTGAGAATTTTTGGGATTTGCTTATGATTTGAGGAAATGGGTTTGTATTGTATCTCTTGTGGATGATTGGATGACCATGGGTGGCCGTTGACCGAATATCGTAGAGTGTGTAGATGCGTTTCTTAATCCGTGAGGGTTTAAATTTTTTCTAACACTCATAATGGAGTTGGTGTCTTGCGATAACCAAACTACTATTCGCTCACGGGTATCGAGGCTGAGGGTTAGTATACTATTCTTGGGTTGAATTCGTCACTGCTGATGCGTCAGTATACGTCATTCCTAAATTTGTGTATCCTTGTGAGGATTGGATGTGTGTGTGTGTGCCAAGATATTCTCGATGTGTTTACTCATGTGATGTCATACATTATACCTGAGATACATTGTGGGCTATTGTTTATTATTAAAATGGTTGGTTATGGTTTATTGTGTAAAGGAGTTTATGGTGGAATTGGTTTATTGTGAAATTAGTTTTTGTCAAAATGGTAACTTGTTGGAAATTGTTATTTTTTAGAATTGGTTTTACTTTTTCATTTAATTATTGCTATTGTGTAAACTTGAGATCCATTGAAATGTCCATGTTTTCCTTCAAAAGCTATATATAATATTTGTAAAATGAGACCGACCATTTTATATGCTTTTGAAACCTTGTTCGAGTTTGGAAGGATTTTCCTACAGAGCTTAGTGCTCACCCCCTATAAACAACATTCTTTTTAGATTTTGGTTTAGAGGAGGAGCTCAGATTTGACGTGCAGATAGCTTGGGATGCTCAACTTGATGGGCATGTGGACCCGGAGGGGGATGTTTAGAACTATTCTTTTTATGTCCTAGACTAGGACGTTTATTTTAAGATAATGTTCATGTTAATATTTTTCTTATTTTGCTGCAAGATAATAGTTAATTTTTAGGATATAATTGTCGTAATTAGGCATATTCTTTTAGATGCAATGGTCATGGCTTGTCATATTCTTTTGAATGAAGTTGTAAATATTATGGATAATGAAATGGAATTTTCTTTAATTATGAACTTTATTAGTTGCTCTCATGATGTGAATGGTTTTAGATAATAATGACATCCAAGGGGGATTTTGGGGCATTACAAATTGAAAGAGTTTTTACTTTTATTTTCTTCCTTCATCCCTGATTACAATAGATTTCCCTGAGGAGATGACTTTGGAATTCTGTTCCAAGTTACTACACGATAAACGCTTGGGAGCTATGTGAAAATCTACCAATTTGAGGGCAAGTAGTGACCAACTCTGCTTGAAAGTTCAAACTCACCGATCCCTTCACCAAAAACACCATTTTTTTCATAGCTTAACCCCCTTCCGCAAGAGTTATCATCCAAACCCCAACCATAGCATTTCTCAACAATTCCACCCTATCATTTTTTCCTTCCCCAAAAGATTAAAAAAAAAAATGGACCACAAGTTTTAGAGATAAAAGAAGGATCATAAATAAGGAAGCTAGAGGAATGATCAAAACCACTAGGAGTCCAAACTAGAAGATGAAGAAGGAACAAAAAGTGCTTCCAAAGGGAAAAAAAGAGCATAAGAATCAAACACATCCACCTTACTTACCTTATGATATGCTTCAAGGAAATCTCTAAGTTTGTCCCTCATTTTGAAAAGTGTTGTAGCACCCCCCTGAAGCTCATCCAAAATCACACCAATATCACAATCCATATCACACCGTAGAGGCGAAACTTCAAAATTATCACTGTCCTCACTATCCTCCATTTCCGTCATAGCAACTCGAAAATCGAAATCGTCTTCCTCAATCTCCAAAATCATTCCACTCTGTTCATCTTTAGCCACCCCATAGAATTTGTTACCAAATTATTCTCTGAAGGACTCATCCCCATCACACCCATTGCACACAACTAAGCTCGAATCCAACCCCATCCCTTTCAATTCATTTGAGTTAGTACCCAAAGTAAAAACTTGAATATACCCTTCGGTGTCATAACATCTCTCTGAATTGTTATCAATAGATCCTTGTAGGGGTGTTCAAATTTTTGATTACCCGCAATTTCTTACCCTAAATAATCCTATTGATTGGCTAACCAAAAAAATTATGTAAGAATGCGGAAGATAATTTGGCCTTCAGATTAAATCGGGTAAGAATGCAGATACCCATAAAATTTTTGTATTTCTACCCTACCCTATCCATGTGTGTGTGTGTGTGTATATATATAATATGTAAATGGCATTGGGAGATCATAACAAATAATGTTTCCCAGCAGTTTTACGTCAAGTGGTGGCCAAGGTTCAACCACGACCGTATCATTGCCTAGGTAGAAAAGGAATTCCCAGTAAAGGTTCCTACACCAGTCAAGGTTAAAGGAATAGAAGCTAGCACTCCAGCAAAGCAGGTTATGCCAGCCCTCAGGGCTCTTCACCAGAAGAACAAGCACAACAACTAGCAAAGTAAAAAAAAAATCCTCCTCTAAGGATTCCATTAAGCAATAGAAACAGAAGTCATCTAAGCTGATCGAATTAGCATAGAAGCTTCTCCAGCAAATAGCAAGTCAGAGCAGTTCCTCTGCATCCTCACAAGCATCAGTAAGTCCGTCTATGCATCCCTTCCAGGATGCCCAAGACCTCAATTATGCTTATAACCTCAGCAGTCCATGATTCTTATCTCTCTGTAATAGCTTTAATCACTACTTTCTTCATCTAAAAAAAGAAAAGGTGTCTATTACACATTCTGATAGAATCATTTAGCAACAAGGCTCTTTTTCACTAGCAAAGAAACCGCCAGTCGATTAATCAGTCATTATTTCCACTAAAAGTAGATTCCTAGCCGACATCAAGGGCCCAGCAGTCATGTAAGTCAGCATTCACCAGAGTAAAATAGATTCACTCCAACTTTTTAACCAAAAAGCAGAAGTGAAAAATATCTCAACCAAGTAAAAGCAAGTCACCTGAGTTAAAGCAACACCAATAGTCAAAAGAGACATCATTCCAAAGATTCTCTCAAAAATCCTTATGCGTACCTTACGCTTATGTAAAGACTTCTGTTATTCCTAGCAAGGGAGAAAAACTTTTGGATTCAAAGCAAATTTCTCTCTTCTATCATATCTCACATTGTATCACTAGTCTTCATATGATGCAACAAGAGATTTCTTTCAGTTAACTATTTGTAAGTTAATTTCAATTACTTGTAATTTTATACTTTTAGTAAAAATAATTCAGTCCTTTAACTGAATCATCCATTATCTGTCTGTTCTGCTTCTATTATTCAGATCTTTTATTCATGTATTCTGCATCTAGTTATTATGGTATCAAAGCCATTTGACGGACTAGATAGTTAACCATCGAGTTATATTTGTTTCATCTTACTTTTTGATAAATCTTTGATGCTCCAATTAGTAAATTTCTTTTGAGTCTTATATTCTTTGTCACCTTAGCTTTGCCACCTAAGCCTAGAGAGTCTAGATCCCAGTGTAAGTCATAATGAGAGGCAGTGAAGGGGAAAATGGACAACAAATCTAGAGGGTATGTGCATAAGAGGGGTATGTACAATGAAGTAAAAACTTACAAGTAATTACAAAGTTAAAAAATCTTGGATTTAAAAATGAGTAGACTATTCAGATCTAATTTCATGGTTAGCTCATCTAGATCTTCACTAAATACTATACCAAATATAGTAAATGAAGAAGAACATGAATATCATGAGTCACAAACAGACTGGAGTGGAAGGAATGTCCCAAAAGTCTCTAACAGAGAAATTTATAAAATGATTTGGATGCCAGCAGCATTCAAGTTAGAACTTCAAGTAAAAAAAATTGAGCAAGTTTATGCCCTCACAAAAGAGCAAGAAACTTGCCAATTACTTAGTAAAGAAGCCATAAAAAGACATAGGGCAAAAGGATATAAATTTATCCACCTTAGCTTAATACAAAAAGCAGTAACAACAATTAACCCAAGAAGGAATTAATTCTGCAATTTTATTATACTTAAGAGATGCTAGATTCGTAAACTTTGAACCTAGTGTCTTAGACTTGATGGAAGCTGGCCTCCAGAACGGACCAGTTTACTTTAATTGTTTTCCAAACTTTACCCTAAGTCTAGAAGATCCTACCATATTAAAAGCATTAACCTTAGGAATAAAAATTACAAAAGAATGCACTCACATGGTAGATGAAGCAAGATCATTAGTACTCATCTATAGGATCTACTATAAATGCATAAAAACAAACCTAAATGTTAATGCATTAAAGAAAAATCCTAAAGATAATACCCTGTTAATTCAAGGTAATACTACTGAATCAAACATACAAGTCCGTAAAAGACTTCTATGGAAAGATGTTCAACTTCCAAAATGTTGGATGCTTGAAAATGAAAGCTATAACAAAACTAGTCGAAACACCATAGCAAACTTAGAACACATCCAACAGTTTCCTGATGGATTAGTAAGAATCTCATTTGATAGCGCAAGATCCAATAGATCTAGCAAATCAAATAGCAAACCACTTCAAATTAATGAAGGATGAAAATTTGAATCACACTCTATTATAACTAGAAGAGATAAGGATTTAGCAAATGAATTAGAAAAAAGATTTAAGTTAAAAGGAATTGATAATTCCTCATCACAAATTACAAAACCATATTACACTCCACAATCACGGTGTCAATAAGAAGAATATGATTTTACACCATCTCCTTCTACTACTGACCTAGAGAGTAACCCCCCAGTAAGTAAACAGTTACTCACAATTAGTAAATTAGATGATCTGTTTCTCATTGATGAAGACAGATTATACGAAGAATTCAATTCTAAGGAAAATAAATCCAAAAGACGAGAATTTAACAAAAAATATAGTGATAGTAAACAAGGAAGAACATTTGAAAATGGGTTAAGTTTACGAATGAAATAAGATGTGAAATCTATTTCTTTGATTACTTAGAAAACCATTACAAATTAGTCAAAGTAGTAACAAAACATAAATGGAAAAAGGAAGATGCCTCTACAATATCTTCAAGTCATCCTCCAGCAGAAACTATATTAATTAGTCATAAAAATCAAGAAGTTACAGCCTCACCATTTAAGTTACTAGTTACTGAATCTGAAAAAAGAATAATTGAGCAAAATAACTTTACCAATCCATATTTAACAACAATTGTTAAGCAACTAGATAAAATTCAAACAAAGATTGATGAAATTAAACCATCAATAAGCAAAAAATTAGAAAAAAAAACTCTAATTCAGTTACCTGAAGATAGAAGTAAACTTGGAATTTCAACAAAAGATAGCAAAAGACTTCAAAAAATTGAAGAAGTTATCCAAAAGATGGAAGTCAAAGCAGAACCATCCCAAACATTATCAATTAAAATGATGAACAAACCTCTGAAGACAGTTAGCCTTCAAAAGCAAGTGCATCAGAAAATTCTACTGATTTTGAAATTAAAGAATTAGAAGAATAGTTTGATAGCCAAAATCTTAACAAATTAACATTTTAAAAAGTCAATCCAACCAGCACCACAAAGAATTGGTATTCCAGACTAAAGCCACCTGATCTTCAATTTGAAGAAAAGAATATTAGTAACCAATTCTCAGTTCAATCCAATAAACTCTATGAATAGAACATAGATGGATTAAGTGAACAAGAAATACTTAACAAAATTAATCATATGTTCATGGTTTTCAACAGTTATATTAACAATCTTGACAACACTGAACCAAAAATTGTTGATCTAATCACTTTTAGATTCACAAGAATGTTAAAAAATGGTGGGATAACTACCTTAGTTAAGAATCAAGAGACAATATTAGATATGTTGTTGAAATGGATGATGAAAATATTTCATTTTTTGATGAAACAATTAGAAGAGCTAAACCAGATGGGATTAACACTCTCATATACACAATAATCAAATATATTGTTCACACACCTAGTAATATAACATCAAGAATCCATGATCAGCTAAGTAACCTAAGATGTCCAACATTAAGTGATTTTCAGATGGTACAAAGATGTATTCATATCAAGAGTAATGGTCAAACTAGACTGTGACAAGTCTTTCTGGAAAGAAAAATTCATCAACAGCTTGCCTAATCTCTTTGCCCATAAGATTAGAGAAGCGTTAAGCAAACCTAAAGGAATCATAGAATATGATCAATTAACCTATGGTGATATTATCAGTACCATTCAAAAAGAAGGTTTAAGAATGTGTATTGATATGAAAATTAGCAAACAAATGAAAGATTATAGGAAAAAAGCTAAGTATGAAATGGGTGATTTATGTGAATAATATGGTCTCCCTTCAGTAGCACCATTTCTTAGAAAACACAAGTGACACAAGCCTTATAGCCGAAGTAAACATTATTACAAAAGAAGCAAGAAGAATTTTCCAAAGCAAGATTACTATGGAAACTCAAGTAAAAAACATAGGAAATCTTATAAGCATAAAACTTATCAAAAAAAAAGTTAGGAAAGAAGAATAGCAAAGATATTGAATGTTATAATTGTGGTAAAAAAAAAGACATATCAGCCCAGAATGTCCACTTAAAAGAAGTCAAAACAATTAAACTAAACTAAAGAAAATGAACAAGAAATTCTCAACACCTTTAAGTTAAGTAACCTTAGCCAAAATGAAGAAAGTTCAGATGATTCAAGCAATCCTGAAAGTTCTTCAGAATATCAGTCAATGTCTAGCAATTCCAATGAAACAAACATTAAGACAGGTTGTAAAGATAATTGTTGTAAAATAATTAGAGTTTAACCAAGCAAACTGAGGAAGAACATGTCCTCATTGATCTTATTAGCTAGATTGAAAATCTTGAGTTAAAGGTTAAATACAT